AGGTTGACGGTTGGACAAGATGATCTTTAAGGTCCCTTCCAACCTAGAAGATTCTGTGATTCTGTGATTATTCCCCGCGTAAGGGAACGGGCAGCAAAGCAGCTAGAGAAAAGTTCCACCAAGGGAAAATTGCTGAGAAGGGTTTTGTGCCACCTGAGAACCCCAAAGATGTATCTTGTTGCTTGGTGTAGTCTACAGCAGCTCACAAATATTCACCATTTCTTACCTGGCTCTGTGGGTTTCCTGCAGCCGCAGACGGCAGCGTGGATTTTGGAATCCTGAAGGTCCTGGATGATGCGAAGCAAGTGCTGACTCTGAAGAACAAAGGGAAGTACGAGATTGCATACAGGTGGGTCCAGCCATTAGAAGATTCTGTGATTCTGTGATTATTCCCCGCGTAAGGGAACGGGCAGCAAAGCAGCTAGAGAAAAGTTCCACCAAGGGAAAATTGCTGAGAAGGGTTTTGTGCCACCTGAGAACCCCAAAGATGTATCTTGTTGCTTGGTGTAGTCTACAGCAGCTCACAAATATTCACCATTTCTTACCTGGCTCTGTGGGTTTCCTGCAGCCGCAGACGGCAGCGTGGATTTTGGAATCCTGAAGGTCCTGGATGATGCGAAGCAAGTGCTGACTCTGAAGAACAAAGGGAAGTACGAGATTGCATACAGGTGGGTCCAGCCATGATCCGTGAATCATCGGTGCCACCATCTGCCCAGCCCTGCGTTCTCCATCTGCCCATGGCTGGAAACTCACAGTTTGAGTAAATACAAAATCTGGGCTCTCCAATCTCTGGTAATTTAGTAGAGAATCCAGCCACACGCCATTAGTTCTTCACAGCTCAGCAGGAACCAGGAGGACAGACTGTGAAATTTAAGCTGCTCACTGCTGAGATTCATTGCCTTCCTCTGAGGGTCTCTTTACGAGACTCTTTAAAGGATGGAATGAAAAAATTTGGTGTCAAGCTGCTCACTGCTGAGATTCATTGCCTTCCTTTGAGGGTCTCTTTACGAGACTCTTTAAATGAAAAAATTTGGTGTCAGAGTAAGCTTACAGCACTCCCCATTGTCTGTACTCTGTGTCAAGATGTTGGATTCCCCAAGCAGAGCTGGATTTTTTTCCCTTTTATTTGGGTTTTTTTTTTGTTTGTTTCTGGCCCTCTGCCAAGCCCTGGTTGTGCTGGTGGCACCGGTGCTTTTAACTGCAAAGCTCTTCACTCCTTCCCTTTTCTCCCCAGTTTCAAGCTGGAAACTGCAGATACCAACATCCCCAACTTGGAATCCCACTTCAGTCTCCAGCCGCAGAAGGGCGTGCTGAGCGCCTCCGAGCGCCCTGTACAGGTCCAGCTCTTCTTCCACCCCAAGATGGAAATGAACATTGAGGACAAACCCATCCTGCACTGCCAGGTGAGCTGCTTTGGCCCAGGTGGTGTAACACGGCGGCTTGGGGAGTGTAAGCAGGACACGTATCTTCTGGAAGGCAGGATTTAACCGGGGAAATCCTCTCATACACGTACGACAAAGTATTTCAGAAAACTGTTTGTGGTGCTTCCTAAATGGAGCTGAAAATCTGGCTCTGGAGGAGGCATTTTAAGAGGGAAGGTGACCTAATGGGGTCTTGGGAGAGAGGTAGAGGCTTGTCTCTGCTGCATTTACCAAACCCTTCCTCCGGTTGCAGGTGATTGAGCCCAACATCCATGAAGGAGGTGAGACCATCGCCATCATCCCAGTGAAGGTGTCAGCCCAAGCTGTGTTCAGCAAGTACAGCATTGCCCCTGCCTCACTCATCAGCTTTGGTGCTGTGATGAATGGCACCAGGAAAACCTGCACCTTCACGCTGGAGAACAAAGGCATCCTTGACTTTAAGTTCTTCATCTACCAGGCAGACCAGGATTCACATATATTGGCAAACAAAAGGTAAGAGAAGACCTGCACCACCCTTTCTGCCTGAGGAGGCACCACACCATGGCTGGTGTGTGACAGGACACCTGGGTTCTTAGAATCATGGAATTTTCCAAGTTGAAAGGGACCTTTCAGATCATTGAGTCCAACCATCAACCCAGCACTGACAAAACCACCACTGACCCATGTCCCTCAGCACCACGTCTGCCCAGCTTTTAGATACCTCCAGGGATGGCAATTCCACCACTTCCCTGGGCAGCCTGCTCCACGGCTTGAGAACCCTTCTGGGGAAGAAATTTTCCCCAATATCCATCCTAAACCTCCCCTGGCACAACTTGAGGCTGTTTCCTCTTGTTCCATTGCCTCTTCCTTGGGAGAGGAGACCAACCCCCCCTGGCTACACCCTTCTTTCAGGGAGTTGGAGAGAGTGAGAAGGTCTCCCCTCAGCCTCCTTTTCTCCAGGCTGAACACCCCCAGCTCCCTCAGCTGCTCCTCATGACACTTGTGCTCCAGATCCCTCACCAGCTCCGTTGCCCTTCTCTGGACCCACTCCAGCCCCTCAAGGTGTGGAGTGAGGTGCCCAAAACTGGACACAGTATTCAAGATGGGGCCTCTTGTCCATCTATGTCACTGGCTTGTTAGGAGGGAGCAGAAAAATGCCTCGGTTTCCCCATGTGTAGGACAAAACTGGAGTTAAGCTGATCTATCCATAAGCTACAGCAGTGGGTGATGCAGACAGCCCCCTGGTAGGAGGACCTTCCTCCTCCATGGGGCGGAAGGTCAGCTTTGGCCTCGGAGAAAGGCAGGGGGAGCTCGGCGTGATGGGTGTCTCTGCTTTCTCTGCATATCCAAGAAAGAAATCCGTCCCCTCCCAAGACAGTGAAAACTTCAACAAAGCGACTCCCTCGGCCAAGCAAAGCAAGATCTCGGGGCAGAAGGACACCAACCCATTCATGCAGGTGGGTAACACCTGCTCCTCAACACATCCCGCTGCTGGAGTGGAAGGGACCCCAGGTGCCCAAGCTGGGGACATCTCCACAGGATGGGACATGGTCTGTGCTTGCTCGGCAGTGGCAGCTGGAGGTCCATCATCTCCCAGCCACAAGCAGAGGCGGGAGCTGCTCAGTCCCATGCTCTGGCTCGGACTGAAGTTGGGGGGGGAGGTCAAGAGAGGGGGAGCAGGTCCTGGGTTTGGCAGCTGCTGGCCCAAACGTGTCAGTGAATACCACATATGTGGAGCATCCCTTTGAACTCCCAGCTTGCTGATAAGAGATGACCTTGCTTTTTCTTCTTCCCAATCCCCTCTCTTTACTCCCATCATCTCTCCCAGTTATTTCCTGTTTTACCCCTGGAGGGTGAAGGATCTACCACCTTCACCCTTTACACCTAAACTCCCTTCTCAGTGTCACTTGGGACAAGCCTACACCTCTTCCCAGCTTGTTCATGTCATCCTGACCACGGAATCATCCTTCCCTGCCCCGGGACTGGGAACGTGGGTCCAAGTGGCCTACTCCTTGCTGGGGGTGCTCAAGGTAGGGCTGTAAGACATCAGGCTCTCCATGGACTCTTCCTGCAGGGTCGCCTCACTATGGGCATGTTCACGGTGTACCCTGGCTTTGGCTTCATCCCGCCTGGGGGCCAGCAGCTGATCACGGTGGATTGCTATGCAGAGCCACTGGGGCCATGCAAGGAGCACTTGTCCATCGATATCAGCGACAGAGACCCCAAGGACAACCCCCTTGGCATCCCCTACACCCTGTTGGCCGAGTCCTGCCTCCCAGGTACGCCCCATCCATAGGTTCCTATGGCCTGACCTGCTGCTGACCAGCACCTGAACTTATTTATTGGGTAGAGAGGCACCCTGACCCTGAAGTCACATCTTAAAATCCTCAGAGGTTCCAGTCCACCAGTGAGGAGAGTCTGGGAGGGATGAACGGAGGGATAAAAGGAAAGCAATGCCCTTTAAGACTGAGGATGACTGAGATCCATCCTCACAGCCAACACCTCCACACAGGCTGGGTTTTGCAGTGACCTGGGCAGAAAAGGCCCTCTGAGAGGCCAACAGGGTCCAGATAAATTCAGCAGGAACATTTCTCCATCCTCAGCCCTCCCTCTGGTCTGCTTGCAGGGTTTGTGGTTGACGACATAGAGTCTATCTTTGAGGAGCATCGGATCTGCAGCAAAATCAACCTCTGTCAGATCCTCCAGACAGTGCAGGACAAGGGTGTGTTCATCAGAGATGAGAACAAGTTTATCTTCACCAACGTTCTGGTTGGGCACCGGGCCACAGCTCGCTTCAAGATCCGCAATGTGGACAAAGTCCCTTGTGACGTGGTTCTCTCCATCACACCCATCTCCACTAAGGTAAGAGCAAGAAGCCGTGGTGACTTGTTCTTCAAAGGCTGTGTCACAGCCTCCCTGGTTCTCCAGATCCATTGCTTTGTCTTGCTGGGACTAGTCCAGCTTGGTGCAGGTCAAACCACAGAGGAAAGAGCAATGCCGAGGTGACAGTTGGGTTAAAATCAGCATGTCTCAAGCAAGGTTTTCTTCACCCCTCTGGGTCTTTGGTGGGAGACCTGAAACCTTCTGAACATCCTGTGGAAGCACACTCAGAGGGGGCTTTCCAACTGCACTGATGTGCTGGGGTTCAAAGCAGACCATTTCCTCAGGCTCTTTGGTCTTTTCCTTCTCTTTCAAGGCCAATTCTAGGTTATTTGCAGGGCTTCCCACGCAGTCCCCACCTCCCATGTGGCTGGGGACCACCACCCATGGGGTGGCTGCCCAGTGCTCAGATCAGGCTTTTGCCCACTTTATGGAAGCTCCCTGTGCAAGGTCAGCACCACTTTGGAATCACAAAATCTTCATGGTTGGAAGGGACCTTTGAGATCATCAAGTCCAAACGCAAAAAAAAACAACCAAACAAAGAAACCCCCCACAAACAGATACAACCCAACAATCTCGGGCACTAGAGCATGCCCTGAAGTGCCGAGTCTACACGTTTCTTAAATACCTCCAGGGATGGTGACTCCACCACCTCCCTGGGCAGGCTGTTCCAGTGCCTGACCACCCTCTCAGCAAAGTCATTCTTCTTAAGATCTAATCTAAACCTCCCCCGCCACAGCTTCAGACCATTTCCTCTGCTCCTGGCATTGTTCCCTTGGGAGAAGAGGCCAACGCCCACCTCTCTCCACCCTCCTGTCAGGGAGTTGGAGAGAGCAATGAGGTCTCCCCTCAGCCTCCTCTTCTCCAAACTAAACATGACCAATTCCCTCAGCCTCTCCTCGTATGACTTGTCTGGGGTTGTTGTTTGATCAAAATGCAAGACCCGGCACTTGGCCTTATTGAACCTCATCCCATTGGCCTTGGCCCCTTGATCCAACCTCTTTAGAGCCTTCTGACCCTCAAGCAGATCAACACTCCCACCTAGTTTGGTGTCATCTGCAAACTGACTGAGATACTAAACAAGATTGGCCCCAAAACTGAGCCCTGAGGGACACCACTGGTGACCGGCCGCCAACAGGATTTCACCCCATTAATCACACCTCTCTGGGCATGGCCATCCAGCCGGTTTTTTACCCAGTGAAGAGTACACTTGTCTATGCCATGATTCACCAGCTTCTCCAGGAGAATGCTGTGGGGAAGAGTGTCAAAGGCCTTACTAAAGTCCAGGTAGACAATGTCCACAGCCTTCCCCACATCAAGAAGGCAGGTCACATCGTCATAAGAAGAGATCAAGTTGGTTAAGCAGGACCTCCCTTTCATAAACCCATGCTGGCCCTGATCCTTTGGTTGACCTGCACTTGCCATGAGAGCTCACTCAAGATGAGTGAGTGGAGAAGAGTTGAGTTTCAGCCTGGAGAAGAGGAGGCTCCGGGGAGACCTAATAGCAGCCTTCCAGTACCTGAAGGGAGCCTACAGGAAGGCTGGGGAGAACCTGTTTAGAAAGGCCTGCAGTGACAGGACGAGGGGCAATGGCTTCAAGCTGGAGGGGAACAGATTTAGACTGGAGATTAGGAGAGGGTTCTTCACTGTGAGGGTGGTGGAGCACTGGAACAGGTTGCCCAGGGAGGTGGTTGAGGCCCCTTCCCTGGAGATATTCAAGGTGAGGCTCGAGGACGCCCTGGTCACCCTGGTCTCGGCCTGGGCAATTCTATGATTCTATGATTCTATGAAGATGATCCTCTCCATGATCTTTCCCAGTACCGAGGTCAGGCTGACAGGCCTATAGTTCCCCGGATCCTCCTTCTGGCCCTTCTTGTAGATGGGCATCACATTGGCCACCCTCCAGTCATGGAGGGAGGTCACCATCAGAAGGAGTCACCCTCCGAGGTGGAAGGAGCCTGTCCAGGGAAGCAGGAAGGAAAACACCATCTGGGGATGTTTCCCCGTGGTGCATATGCGAATAAGACTGCATGAATGTTGAAGGATGTTTTCTCCTGACACTGCTCTGTGGGTTTCCCCAAGCTTAACAGCCGTGCTGGTGACGTTTTCGAGGTGGATCCCCTTCGGATGTGTGTGCCCAGCCGCTCCCACGCCTTCGCCACGGTCACCTTCGCTCCCCAAACGGTGCAGAACTACCAGTGCACTTTTGAGGCTTCCCTGGATGTCCCCGCAAGGTAAGTCACCCTGAGAGATGCTGGGGGTGACCTCTCTCACAGCTGCCTCTCCTCGGGGAGGATGGGGAGACCTCTAGTTAAGCCCTAATTCTCTGAGTTGCTGTAAGTAGGGTACCTAGCATTAGAGAACATCGGAAGGAGTAAGTAGTAGATAGAGCAGAGCAGAAAAAATAAGATTCATAGTTTATCCTTTGGGAGTAACTCTGATGACATTAATATTAAGTACCAACTAGAATTTATGGAATGGGACAGAAAAGGGAGATGTGCATCTTCTGGAAAGCACTACTGAGGAGAAGGATCTGGGGGTCGTGGTGGAGAGTAAACTCTCCATGAGCCAGCAATGGGCCCTTGTGGCCAAGAGGCCAATGGGATCCTGGGCTGCAGAGGGAAGAGCGTGGCCAGGAGGTGGAGGGAGGTCATTCTCCCCCTCTGCTCTGCACTGGGGAGGCCACAACTGGAATCCTGCCTCCAGTTCTGGGCTCCCCAGTTCAAGAGGGACAGGGAACTGCTGGAGAGAGTCCAGCGTAGGGCAACAGAGATGATGGAGGGATTGGAGCATCTCCCTGATGAGGAAAGGCTGAGAGAGCTGGGGCTCTTGAGCCTGGAGAAGAGAAGGCTGAGGGGAGACCTTATCAATGCTGACAAGGATCTAAAGGGTGGGTTGAAGGAGGATGGAGCTGGACTCTTTTCAGTGGTTCCCAGTGACAGGACGAGGGGCAACGGGCACAAGCTGGACCATGGGAAGTTCCACTCCAATCTGAGGAAGAACTTCTTTGGGGTGAGGGTGGCAGAGCCCTGGCAGAGGCTGCCCAGGGAGGGTGTGGAGTCCCCTTCTCTGGAGATCTTCAAGCCCCACTGGATGCTCCTGAGTGATGTGCTCTGGGCAACCCTGCTTTGGCAGGGGAGTTGGACTGTAGGATCTCTAGAAGGTCCCTTCCAACTCTGACGATTCCGTGATTCTGTGATTCCGTGCAGCAGCTGAGCTGGGGCTTTCCAAGGACAGAGGGTTAGATGAAGAGGTTTTTGTGGCAGCGAGTCAGCGTGCGTTATTTCCTCCAGGCTGATGTTAAAATGAGATGATCCAATGTGATTACCTGGGGTATATTGAGATATTTTGGACCCCTTATAAAAGAGGAGCCCAGTTCCTCTGTCCTGGGACCCTTGTGCCAGAGCTCTGACCTGCTCTTTTCCACCCCTTTAGTCACTGAACTGGGACAAGATAAATCAGCTTTTTGCCCTAATAAACTATTCCTGGTTTAGTGTCCTTGGAAATAATCTTTCCTGACAGTGTTATTTTTTTACTTCTCCCTTCTTGTTTGTCTACTGTTTTCATGCTGTGCTTGTGCTTTTTGCATATGTCCTGTATCGCCGCAGCCAGTGAATTTGCCACATCTCATCTGTTGCCTCATTAATTACCTGCTGTACTGCGGGACTGGATTAAGCAAAGGGATTTTTAGCTGTTATTTAGGAAGCCTCTGGCTCTTCAGAGTGGACTCCTCTTGGGAATGGCCCTGATGGGACCGGGATCGTGGGGTGTGGTGGGGTGCAGGAGCCAGGGAAAACGCAGCGGGTGGCACTCGCTTGGTTCCTTGGCAAGTGGGGAATGGGTTAGTGCCAGCCATGGTGACTCCTCCTCTGCTTCTCCAGTAGCCCCGCAGCAAATAAAGTACAAAGCCTGACCTTCAATATCAGTGGAGACGGGTATCTGCCTCGGGTGACAGTCCTGCGCCCCATCCTTCACAATAAGAAGGGGAACCCTCTGCTGCTCTTCAAGAAGCTGTTGTTGGGTGATTCGGAAAAGCTCCCTCTGGTCCTTCATAATGGTGGCACCATCCCTGTCCAGGTGAGGACCTGCCCAGGGGATGCTGTGGTCTGGGAACAAGTCCTCGTGCCATGGAGGACAGGTCCCAGAAAACATGGTAGGCATGGGGACAGGTCTCAGAAACTGATTTTAAGCAAATGACTGACTTCGACTTCCCAGGAGAGGAGTTCCTCTTGGAGTATTGTGTGCAGGTCTGGAGCCCTCAATATAGGAAAGCTATGGACCTGATGGAGCAGATCCAGCGGAGGGCCATGAGGATGATCAGGGGGATGGAGCACCTCTGCTACGAGGACAGGCTGAGGGAGCTGGGGTTGTTCAGCCTGGAGAAGAGGAGGCTCCGGGGAGACCTAATAGCAGCCTTCCAGTACCTGAGGGGGCTACAGGAAGGCTGGGGAGAACCTGTTTAGAAAGGCCTGTAGTGACAGGACGAGGGGCAATGGCGTTAAGTTGGAGAAGAGCTGATTTAGACTGGAGATGAGGAGAAAGTTCTTTCCTGTGAGGGTGGTGGAGCACTGGAACAGGTTGCCCAGGGAGGTGGTTGAGGCCCCTTCCCTGGAGATATTCAAGGAGAGGCTCGACGAGGCCCTGGGCAACCTGGTCTAGTTGGGGGTGTCCCTGCTGACTGCGGGGGGGTCGGACTAGATGGCCTTTGGAGGTCCCTTCCAGCCTGGACCATTCTATGATTCTATGATAAATGTAATTTTTTTGACTGGTCTATCCTTTTCAGTTCACCAATAAGAAAATTGGTGGGATGTTTTTTCCCCTTTTCTCTCACCTCACGTTTTGGTTCTCATTTGTGACATCCTAGTTACGGTATTGTATTTGCTCTCTTTTTACTACGTTTTCATTAAACTCAGTTGTAGTTTAATTACATTCTGCTCATTACTTTTAGTACTTTCTGTCCTCTTTGGTTATATTTTAATTATATCCCAGTGCCTCTGAACACTTTTTTTTCTGTCTGATTTCACTTAAACTTTGTGCCGAGAGCTGTGTTTGAAGGCGGGGGGTGTGCTGGGTTCCCCATACTGACCATCTGTGTGCCATCCACACCAGTGTGGTCGTGCTCTGTCTTCCCTTTTTCCCAGTTGATGATAGACCTGTTGGATGAAGGGGGAGTTTTCTTCTTGAAAGCCAGGCCCACCACACACTGCATCTACCAAGCTGCATGCGTGAAGGAGGACTCCCCTGGAGAAGGTAAATTCATTAACCATGAAGTGTGGGCATCCACTCCAAGGTCCAAGGTTAATGAGCACAAGAAGGTCATGGACCTGTTGGAGTGGGGTCAGAGATGCTGGGAGGGCTGGAGCCCCTCTGCTGGGAGGGGGGGCTGAGAGAGTTGGGGGGTTCAGCCTGGAGAAGAGAAGGCTCCAGGGAGACCTTGGAGCCCCTTCCAGTCCCTCAAGGGGCTCCAGGAAAGCTGGGGAGGGACTCTGGATGAGGGAGGGGAGCCCTAGGAGGAGGGGGAAGGGTTTGACCCTGAAAGAGGGGAGATGGAGCTGAGATGTGGGGCAGAACTTGTTTGGTGGGAGGGTGGTGAGAGCCTGGCCCAGGTTGGCCAGAGAAGCTGTGGCTGCCCCATCCCTGGAGGGGGTCAAGGGCAGGTTGGAGGGGGCTTGGAGCAACCTGGTGTGGTGGGAGGTGTCCCTGCCCAGTGATCATCCAGGGACACTGGATGGTCTTTAAGATCCCTTCCAACCTAAACCAGTCTATGATTCTATGAAAATGTGTGCCCTGCTCTCGGCTTGGCCAAGCAGCAGCCAGATGTTAGACATCATTTCTTTCCTGGGGCTCTCTATACTCCTAGTTTTTCGTGTGGACTCTGCAGGATTTCCTCCTGGCAAGTTGTAGGAAGTTTTTCTGTTCTTCTGGATGTGGTGGGTTTAGTTGTGGGAAACTGTCACCACTTGAATGGACTGTCTGAGGTTTCTGCTGCATGTGGGGAGTTACCAGCATGAATGAGGAGCAACCAGAGCCAGCCAACAAAAGCCAAAGCCACCCTTTGACTCTGCTTTATATCTGGCAGGAGCTGGTTGGATGCAGTTTCAATCAGAGCTGGGTGCTAACATGAGGTTAAGACCCTTATTAAGCAGTGATAGCATGGTGGGGGTCAGTCTCGTGAATGTAGGAGGAGGGTCTGGAACCAGTCAGCGGTGGGAGAACCTGTGCTTGGAGACACCTGGGTTTCAACTTCTTACTCCTTTTATACCCCATGGAAATGTTTCCTCTGTATCACCTGTCTCTGATTTCCATTGCCCTGCAGAGAGGAAACCTCACACCGCGTCCCTGGTCCTACAACATGGGGAATCAGCAGAGTTTGACGTGCTTTTCAAACCCACCCTGGCCCAACGCGTGGAAGGGAAGATACTCCTGTCAGTGGTGGACAATCCCTATGAAGAGACCAATATTCAGCTGGTGGGTGAAGGCTACGAGGATGACTTCACGCTAGATAACATCCATGGGCTGGTGGCAGAGAGTGTGGAGGAAAACACTGAGGGCATGGAGGAAGACATAATTGAGGGTAAGAGAGGAGAGACTGCCAAGATGGAGCAAGAAATGGGAAAAATACATGTCTGCTCACCCTGTGCCAGTGCAGCTTGGAAGGGACCTCTGGAGATCATCTAATCCAAACCCCCTGCCAGAGCAGGTCCACCCGGGGCGGGCTGCACAAGAACGCATCCAGGCGGGTCTGGAATATCTCCAGAGGAGACTCCACCACCTCCCTGGGCAGCCTCTGCCAGGGCTCTGCCACCCTCACAGGAAAGAAGTTCCTTCTCATGTTTAGGTGGAACTTCCCATGTTCCAGTTTGTGCCTGTTGCTCCTTGTCCTGTCCCTGGGCATCTCTGAAAAAAGACCAGCCCCAGCCTCCTGACACCCTCCCTTGAAGTATTTACGAGCATTGATCAGATCCCCCCTCAGCCTTCTCTTCTCCAGACTAAAAAGACCCAAGTCCCTCAGCCTCTCCTCGGAAGGGAGATGTTCTAGTCCCCTCATCATCCTCGTAGCCTCTGCTGTCCCCTCTCCAGCAGTTCCCTGTCCTTCTGGAACTGGGGAGCCCAGAACTGGACCCAGTGCTCCAGATATGACCTTGCCAGGGCAGAGTAGAGGAGCAGGATGACCTCCATCCACCTGCTGGCCATGATCTTCTTAATGCACCCCAGGATGCCATTGGCCTTTTTGGCCACAAGGGCACATTGCTGGATCACGGGCAACTTGTCCACCAGGTCTTTTTCCACAGAGCTGCTCTCCAGCAGGTCACCCCCAGCTTATACCAGTGTGAGGGGTTATCCCCCCCAGATGCAGGACCCTACCCTTACCCTTGTTGGATCTCATCAGGTTTCATAAGGAAGCATGAAAGCTGGTGGGGAAGGGTCAGAGGTACCACCACTCACCCGAGTGTCTCTAAAAGGAGGTCTCCAAGCCCATGCAATACTATGGAGACGACAATCATGTGTGATAATTTGTGTCCTCTATATATCTAGGCCTGTGATGTCACCCACCAGATCTGGTAGTCCATGAGCACATCTGCCATGTGCATGCTGTACCACATGTCCCTCTGCACAGACACCACCATGCGTTTAGGGACATCTCAGGGTGTTGCCCTGAAAGTGTGAGATGGGGAGCTGCATCTCCCAGAGGGAGGAAGGCTTGGAGGGAGGAAGAGTTGGACACACACATGTGTCTGTGCATGTGAGGGGGGTGGATGGACTTCACCGCACGCTGAGATCTCTTGCTCTCCTTCTTCACAGCTGCCAGAGTGGATCACATCCAGTTTGGGGACTGTCACATCGGGAGAGCCTACCCCGTGACCTTCACCATCACCAACCGCAGCAAGGAGGAGGCCATGCGGTTTGAGTGGCTGGCAGAGACCCCCTTTCACTTCTCCCCCAAGGTGAGCTTGGGCAGCCCTGTCCTTCCCCCTCTGCCCTGCCTGGAGGGAGCCTGGGGGCTGGCAGGGGGTCACCCTGTACTGGTGGGAGCCCATTCCGGTGCCACATAGGAGAGAACATCCCTGGATTTGCTGGGACAGGACTATCAACCCCACAGGAGAGGCTCCGTGTTACAGAAGGCAGCATCTTTTGTTTGTACTTTATCAAACCTCAGATAAATACACAGTTAAGTTGCAGATTCGTAGAATCACAGAATTGTAGAGGTTGGAAAGGGACCTCTGGAGATTATCTGCTCCAACCCCCTGCCAGAGCAGGGTGTCCAGGTGGGTTCCAGGTGGAATATCTCCAGAGATGGAGACTCCACACCCTCTCTGGGCAGCCTCTTCCAGGGCTCTGCCACCCTCACAGGAAAGAAGTTCCTCATATTCAGATGGAACTTTCGTGTTCCAGTTTGTGCCTGTTGCCCCTTGTCCTGTCACTGGGCACCACTGAGAAGAGCCTGGCCCCATGCTCTTGCCCCCCACCCTTTAGCTATTGCTCAGCATCCATGAGATCCCCTCTCAGTCTGCTCTTCTCCAGCTGAACAGCCCCAGGGCTCTCAGCCTTTCCTCAGCAGAGAGATGCTCCAGTCCCTCATCATCTTCGTAGCCTCCAGCAGATCAGCCCCAACCTGTACCAGTGTGGGGGGTTATTCCTCCCAAGGTGCAGGACCCTACACTTACCCTTGTTGGATCTCATCGTGTTCCTCTCCACCCAGCTCTCCAGCCTTTCCAGGTCTGGCTGGATGGTGGCCCGGTTTTGTGGTGTGTCAGCCATCCTCCAGCCTGTCCAGGTCTGGCTGGATGGTGGCCTGGTTTTGTGGTGTGTCAGCCATCCCTCCCAGTTTTGCACCATCAGTGAACTTGCGGAGGGTACACTCTGTCCCCTCATCCAGGTCATTGATGAATATATTGAACAAGATGGGACCCAGTAGTGACCCCTGGGGAACACCTCTAGTTCCAGGCCTCCAGCTGGACTCTGGCGCTGCTGATCGTAGTTCCTGCACAGCTGCTCCTCACCACATCAACCCCTTTGCCCTAAGTCCTGCCCTTGCCAGTGATTCCAGTTTGGTCTTGGGTCTCTGTTCTCCCCAGGTGGGACACCTCCACGCTGGCTGTGCTAAGGACATCACAGTGACCTTGAAGTCGGACGTCCCGATGGCCTTCAAAATGCACCCTGTGAAGTGTAAGGTGGCTCGGATCACCTTCCAGTTGCCATCAGAGCAGGTCACCGACTGGGACGACCGCCTGCACACCATCAAGTGGGTGGATGCCACAAGGGACCTGGCAGCCACATGGCCTGTGAAGAAAAAGGTAAGAAGAAGGATGGCAAAAGTGAACCGAGCTTCTACAAAAAGCAGACCACCATCTCGGCTGGCTAAGCAGCTCCTGCTTCCTCCTAACGTCTCATCCCTCCGTGAGAGGTGGATGCAGGGTGACCTGATGTGCTCACACGAGGCTGGGAAGTCTTTTTGTCAAGGGACGTTGTAGTTTGACGAGAGACGTTGAGCCACGTGCAAATGGTCAGTCTCTGCCAAAGAGCTGAAGTGTTGCAGCCTGTGTTGAAAGGAGCGGTGTGTGTGTCACAATTTATGATGACACTTAAAATGATGACCCTTATGATGGCCTTCAAATCTCTTCATCTCATTCAGTGCCTTTTCACCAACAAGGGGTTAAATCTAGAGGGATGGATCTCTTGTTTTGACGGGGGGAGTAACACCAGCACTCACCTGTGTACACTGGCAGCCCACCAGCACGTTGTGGGTGAGCTCTGAGCTGTCTGCACTGATAACCAGAGATTGGGGTTGTGGTTTCTACATCCTACATTCTTCTCCCAAGTCACAGGCGACAGGACAAAAGGAAATGGCCTCAAGTTGCGCCAGGGGAGGTTCAGGCTGGATATTAGGAAAAATTTTTTCACTGAAAGGGTTCTCAGCCATTGGAATGGGCTGCCCAGGGAGGTGGTTGAGGCCCCATCCCTGGAGGTGTTCAAAAGACGGGGTGATGTAGTGCTGGGAGGTATGGTTTAGTGATGGTGCTGCTACTTGTTTGTTGTGCGGGTGTCTATTTTTGTCAGTTGGGTCAACGGTTGGACAAGATGATCTTTGAGTTCCCTTCCAACCTAGAAGATTCTGTGATCGTGTGGGATATCTCATTTTGGGGCAGCCCAGGCACTGCCTGGCAGTCATGCAGGAGTCTGGAGAAGTATCATCTCCAGAAACTCTTGCTTTTTGCTGTCATTATTGCCAAACACTTACCTTGGGTGATGGTTCTTCCCTGGTTTCTGAGGAAGACCTATAAACCAAACTTCTTCCCCATCAGGGCATCAGCAGTCGGAGACTTTTCCCAGTGAGTTCATTCCCATCTCAAAATACCCGTCGCCAGCCCCCACCAGTGGGGCTGTTGCCCCACACGTAGCATCTGGAAAGCACTATCTCCTAAGACAAAAAGGAAAAGGTCCTTTCTAGGGGTTTCTCCCTCCACAGAGCTCCAGCAGGAGAACCTAATCCTAATTTAGAGGCCTGCTGGATTTATAGGAGCTAGGAAAAAGGTTGGACACTCTACAGGGTTGAAACACGGCCATCGTCCCCATGGGTGTGTTCATGGTGGTGATTGCTTTTGTCAGCAGGCAGGAACAAACACTGTAGTGGAAAGGTCAAATTTTGTCATCTTTCCAGGGAAATAAATGGGAACGGTCCTTTCTAGCCCCTAAAATGTGTCTGATTTTGGAGGCCAAAAGGCTCCCTGCTCAGTCTGGCTTTCTGGGCCCTGCTCAGTGATTCTTCCCTCTCCTGTTTGGAGGTGATCGAGACGGACCCAGAACCAGCTCACACTCTCCTGGAGAAGAGCAGCCGTGAGGTGGAGCTTCGCCTCAGCGCTGTCATCGACCACGCCGAGTTCCAGCTGGATACAGACACGATTCAGTTCAAGGAGACCTTGCTCTTCCAGACAAGTACATTCAGGTGAGTTCTGGGGGGTCAGGCAGGACCTTCTGCTCATGGTCCTGTGCCAGCAGAGGTTACGCTGAGAGGCTCGTTGCTTGGCCACTTAATGAACCTTTACTAATTTCTAAATGGCTGATCAGCCTTGGAGGGGAGTGCTGTTCATGGCTAAGTCTGAGGTTTCAGCTTCCACACATAACCTGGCACATCCCGGGGCCTGGAGATCTCCTATGTGTGGACCCGAGTCCTTTCTAGAACTTTATGTTCGGTCTCACTGACAACTCATTTGTTGTTTCATCCTTTCCAAGTCCTGGCTGGGTGCTGGTGCCCATGTATCTGTACACAAAGCCAAGCAGGAGATGGTGGCTGCCATATCCTGCCAAGACCTGCCAGGAGAGGTTCGGTTCCACTGTGCCTTTCTGCTGAGAACAGCCATGGTTCTGCTGTCCTTGCATGTTGCCTGTCCTCATCTGCTGGAGGACGAGTTTGCAGTCAAAATAGTGTCAAACTAGGACATCAAGACCAGAACAAGACCCTTGGATTAAGTCTCCTGGGCACCAGGTCTGCCCTTTCCTCTTTACAGAATCACATGGGGTTGGAAGGGACCTCTGGAGATCATCTCCTCCAACCCCCTGCCAAAGCAGGGCCACCCAGAGCAGGTCCCACAGGAACGTGTTCAGGTGGGTTTGGAATGTCTCCAGAGAAGGAGACTCCACCACCTCCCTGGGCAGCCTCTGCCAGGGCTCTGCCACCCTCACAGCAAAGAAGTTCCTCCTCATGTTGAGGTGGAACTTGTTATACTCAAGTTTGGGCCCATTTCCTCTTGTCCTGCCCCTGGGCACCACTGAAAAAAGACTGGCCCCATCCTCCTGGCACCCTCCCTTTAAGTATTTATAAGCATTGATCAGATCCCCCCTCAGCCTTCTCTTCTCCAGACTCAAAAGACCCAAGTCCCTCAGCCTCTCCTCAGAAGGGAGATGCTTCAGGCCCCTCATCATCTCTGTAGCCTCTGCTGTCCCCTCTCCAGCAGTTCCCTGTCCTTCTGGAACTGGGGAGCCCAGAACTGGACAACTGGACTTTAATTTCAAAACTTTGAAATACTTTGTCTTGGGGCAGCCCAGGGCAGTGATTCAGCCACGGCAGCGTTGTCTGAGGAAGATGCTACTCAGGATAAAGAAAGGGCTGCCAGGAGCCCACCATTCAAGTGTTGCTTCTCTACTTGCTTTGTATTTATTGGGCTTTTTATTCCTCCTTCTTGCTTTTCAGTTTCCTGCTGTCCAATACAGGGAACGTGGCCCTGGAATACACCTGGATGGTGGCTGTGGAGGAGGAAAGGGCAGTGAGCCACACTGGGGAGCTGCTCCCACCCAGCTTGGATGGTAAGGAACTAGCTCTGTGGCAGCTGGGGGTGCCCAGGGTGTTTCAGCTGGTAGCTGAGGGCTTGGGGAGAAGACCACGCGATTTCACCCCAAAACATGAATTGCTTTTTCATCCAGTCATACGCTTTCATCAACATCTTCCCAGCTGCAGCTGAGACTTTCTCCTTGCCCCCTCTCTGCCTTCCAGACCCTCCTGCGCTCGCTCTGATGCTCGTGCTCTGCAGGGGAGCTGGGGCTGGGGAGAGCCATGTGCTGGGTCAGGACTAGGCAGGAGGACATCAGGGCACCTCTTTGGGAAGTCTCTGAGTCTTGATGGTGTAAGGATGTGCGCTGGAGCCCAGAAACCCCCCCCACCCTGGGCTGCATCCCCAGCCCCGTGGCCAGCAGGGAGAGGGATGGATGGGGGGGATTCTGCCCCTCTGCTCTGCTCTGGGGAGACCCCCCCAGTGCTGCCTCCAGCTCTGGGGCCACCAACAGCAGAAGGACATGGAGCTGTTGGAGCGGGGCCAGAGGAGGCCCCGGAGATGCTGGGAGGGCTGGAGCCCCTCTGCTGGGAGGGGGGGCTGAGAGAGTTGGGGGGGTTCAGCCTGGAGAAGTGAAGTCTCCAAGGAGAACTTGGAGCCCCTTCCAGTCCCTCAGGGGGCTCCAGGAAAGCTGGGGAGGGACTCTGGATCAGGGAGGGGAGCCCTAGGAGGAGGGGGAAGGGTTTGACCCTGAAAGAGGGGAGATGGAGCTGAGATGTGGGGCAGAACTTGTTTGGTGTGAGGGTGGTGAGAGCCTGGCCCAGGTTGGCCAGAGAAGCTGTGGCTGCCCCATCCCTGGAGGGGTTCAAGGGCAGGTTGGCGGGGGCTTGGAGCAACCTGGTCGTGTGGGAGGTGTCTCCCTGCCCAGGGTGTGGCACTGGATGGGCTTTGAGGTTCCTTCCAACCCAAACCATTTTATGAGTTAGCAGACACACCTGTCTGCAATTCTTTGGTCCACAGCAAATGCAAAGTCACTGTCTAACATTAATTTGGGCACCAAGTGGTGATTCCAACCCAGTCCTTGACATCCTGGATGGGGTTATCTCCTTCACCTGTTGGTCCTGGTGTTCATTTTTCCCCAGCACAAGGGGACACTCATGCTGAAGCCAGTCTGCTGGGCTGTCCGGTCGTTACGAAAGCCTGACAAAGAGGAAGGAAGGGAAAGGTGTGAGGGACACAGCAGTGCTGCTCCCCAAAGCCTTCTTTCCACCACACACAACCAGCAAAATTCATTGCTGTGGGACACAGGGGAGCAGGACTTCGCGCTGCCCTTGATGCCAAGCGCCGAGGCTTGCTGTGTTGGGGTGTGAAACAGCGCCCAGAAGACTTCCCAGATGCTGTAACAGTCATCTCTGCTCTTAGTTCCTGGACTAACAGGGAATGAACACTGCCCAGAAACCCTTCTGCTGGAGAAGTTTGTATCTGGCTCCCCAGTTGTGGAGATGGAAAGAGCTTAACATCATGGAGTGAAGCGTCTGCCTTCAGTCCCGGGCCCATTTAATGTTCTAACATGTAGCCTTCCTGTCATCCGAGCATCTTCAGCAGATGTTCAGTGGCTTGTTCTGATTTGGGCAGTTCTCTGGGTCTCCGCTGGGCCTTTTCGCTTTGTTTTCTGTCCCCCACCCTGTTCCTCCCTCCTGTCTGCCCCTGTACTCGGCACTGGTGAGGCCTCACCTTGAGTACTGTGTCCAGTTTTGGGCCCCCTACCATAAAAAAGACATTGAGGTGCTGGAGTGGGTCCAGAGAAGGGCAACAAAGATGGTGAGGGGTCTGGAGAATAAGTCTTATGAGGAGAGGCTGAGGGAACTGGGGGTATTCAGCCTGGAGAAGAGGAGGCTGAGGGGAGACCTTATTGCTCTCTCCAACTCCCTGAAAGGAGGGGGTAGAGAGGTGGGGGTCAGTCTCTTTTCTCAAGTCACAGGCGACAGGACCAGAGGAAATGGCCTCAAGTTGCACCAGGGGAGGTTCAGGCTGGATATTAGGAAAAATTTTTTCACTGAAAGGGTTCTCAGGCATTGGAATGGGCTGCCCAGGGAGGCGGTTGAGGCCCCATCCCTGGAGGTATTCAAAAGACGGGTTGATGTAGTGCTGGGAGGTATGGTTTGGTGATGATGCTCCTTGTTTGTTGGGTGGGTGTCTATTTTTGTCAGTTAGGGTGACGGTTGGACAAGATGATCTTTAAGGTCCCGTCCAACCTAGAAGATTCTGTGATTCTGTGATTTTCACACCCATCCCCGTGACTTTCTGGGGTTAGGACTTAGCAAGAGATAACAGAGCACCAAAGGCAAACTGCCTGCTCCCCCTGTTCTTCACCAGGAGTCCTCCTGCTCTCAGCATCCCAGCTCCCTTCTGTCCTCCTTCAGCAGGAGGCAGAGCTGCTGGGAATGTTCTCCTTGAAAGGCGTCCTCCTCTAACCTCTTCCTCACCCCGCAGGGTATTTCCCCTCCTTGGCTTCTGGTGCCTCTGCGAACCTCCGGTCCAGCTGTTGTTCGAGCCAGCCCAGCCATGCTCCGGAGCAGGTCTCCTCCTCCCCAAGCTCATCTCTGAAGACTGTCAGTGCCACCTCGATGTTCTCTGTAGAGCCCTCCAGCGGTACCATCCCCGCCCGCCAGGAGCAGGTCTTCCAGATGAAGTTCTCTCCAGTCTACGTGGGCAATTTTGAAAGCCGTATGCTCTGCAGGTAGGGAACGTTCAGGCACTTTTCAAGTTGTGTAACCCATGGAGAGTCATGGTATGGCCTCTGATTGGGGTGAGTGGGGACCTGGGAACAGCCAGCCCCAGAGAGGCAGCAGAAACAACCAACATACAAGGGCAAAGAAAGATGGTCATCTGGCCTTGGTAGAAGCAGGTATGGAGACACTGGGAAAAACCGTTGTATGAAATATTTAGCTCCTAGAGGGTTGCAAAATCTGGAAAGAGAGATCTAGAAAGGCTGTCAAAGGGCTACTCAGTGCTTCCTTATCAGATCACCAGGACCTGGGAGTCCTGGTGGACAATAGGATGACCATGAGCCAGCAATGGGCCCTTGTGGCCAAGAAGGCCAATGGCATCCTGGGGGGCATCAGGAAGAGTGTGAGCAGCAGGTGGAGGGAGGTCATCCTGCCCCTCTGCTCTGCCCTGGGGAGGCCCCAGCTGGAGCAATGGCACCAGTTCTGGGCTCCCCAGTTCCAGAAGGACAGGGAACTGCTGGAGAGGGGACAGCAGAGGCTACAGAGATGGTGAGGGGCCTGGAGCATCTCCCTTCTGAGGAGAGGCTGAGGGACTTGGGTCTTTTTAGTCTGGAGAAGAGAAGGCTGAGGGGGGAATCTGATCAATGCTTATAAATACTTCAAGGGAGGGTGTCAGGAGGATGGGGCCGGTCTTTTTTTCAGTGGTGCCCAGGGACAGGACTCCAAGAAATGCACCCAAACTTGAATGTAAGAAGTTCCACCTAAACATGAGGAGGAAGTTCTTTCCTGTGAGGGTGGCAGAGCCCTGGCAGAGGCTGCCCAGGGAGGGGGTGGAGTCTCCTTCTCTGGAGACATTCCAAACCCACCTGGACACATTCCTGTGGGACCTGCTCTGGGTGGACCTGCTTTGGGAGGGGTTTGGACTAGATGATCGCCAGAGCTCCCTTCCAACCCCATGGGATTCTGTGATTCTATAAGCATGGCCTGTGTGCTGTGGTTGGCCTCTAGACATGTAACTGTTCGTGGTTTTGCCGTTTCATCTCTGCTGCCTCCATGGCAGGGAATGCAGTTCTGTTGGATTTGCTCCTCATTTTGATTTGCTGCTCGATGCCTGCACAGGGAGAAGACGCAACACTGGAGATAAACGAGCAGTTGGCTGGCTCGAAATGTTAGTCTGGCTAATACCAGTCTCTTTTTTTTTTTTTCCCCTAGTATTCCTAACCTGAAGCCAAGTCAGAAGGGCCCAGAGGTGGTGGTGAAGGGGAGCAGCTTGATGCCAGACTGCCACTTCGAACTGGAAGACTCTGACTACATCACCGCAAAAAGGCGCAACCCAGACTTGCAGGGACCAAAGGGGACAACGTTTGATCTCGACACAAGAGTGATTGAGTTTGCGGCAGTGGGAGTGTGCAGCAGGAACAGCAGGTAGGTGTGGGCATGGCTTCTCCTGATGATGGTCTCCTGGTCGCTCTCCTTAACCAGACACCTCTCCAGCTACTCTTCCAAGCTCCACGGCACATCTGTGCTTTGTCTGCGAGCTGCTGACGCTTGGCCACCAGTTTGTTTTGGGGCTGGAACAAGGTGGGCACTGAAAACCAACTGTTCTCTTCACCCCTTTCTTCAATAAGTTATGGGTCAGTCTGGGAGGACCCTATATCCCAAAGACCATTACAACTTTTGTCCCTTTGAAGAGCATCCTTGGGACATTCTCACTCCTTTGAGATACCAGTCAGATATGGTCAGTGAAGGCTGCAACAACAGAGACCACCATCTTCCAAAGGAATCTTACTGAGCTTGATTTTACCACTTTCACTTGATCTTCCCATCCTAACCTGCAAGAGTTTGGCTAATTTCTTTGCTAATTTCTTTGTTGATAGCCGTTAATTCTTAGCCAGCTGGGAGATAAACAAGGCCCCTAGAAAGCAGGTGAATTGTTTGTGCTCCCAGCATTGTTCCTTCATACCCAAGAACTCCTTCCAGGTGGTGGCCAGGACTGGCAGTGCCTGACGTCTGCTGCAGGACAGTCATTAAACATCCCAACACCACCTCAGTAGCCCTTTTTGCTTTGTGTCACCAGGACCTTCATGGTTATGAACCCAACCAGTTCCGCGTATTCCTTCCAGTGGACTTGCCAAGACACTGAAGCCCCACCAGAAGAGGTGGCTTTCTTCTGCCTCACAGAGAGAGGACAGATCCAGCCAGAGAAGAAAGCAGAGGTGGGTGCAGAAAATTAAGATGGTAGAACCAGTATACACACGTATGGGAGTGTAACACCAGCTGTGTCTGCTTTTACTGGGCGTCCCGTCTCACTGTGAGCTTGCCAAGACCATGAGGGACAATTCTGATTCTATGAAACCTTCAACTGCAGTGCAAATGAACTGGCAGGTGACCCCATTCTCCCCTACCCCACATCTGCCATGCTTTGGGGCTCTAAGGGGCACAGCAGCCTATCTCTGAGCCCACAGCCACGTAAGGTGGAGGTTCCTGGGGTTTCTTGGTGGTATAGAGGGCACCACCCCTCCCCTTACCCTGCTGAGGGCAGCAGCTTTATTTCATTTGCCTCTTTCTCCCCCAGATGAAGTTTGAATTCATTCCCCGGCACCTGGACATCACAGAATCGTTCTGGGTCTTTACAGTCCCCGAGCAGAGCATTTCAGTCCCGTTCCTGCTGGTGGGCAACGCCACCGACCCACTAGTGACTCTGGACAGATCCTACTTGAACTTCCACTTGCTGTTAATTGGTGAGCACCGTGGTTATACCTTACAGGCTCCAAAGTCTACCTTTCCAGGGGCCCAGCAGGCTCCTGGGAGGAAGCTGGAAATGGAAGTGGGCTCTTGTGAGCTGAGCATCCAGCTCCTGCCACCCACGTGTACCAGGGAGAGGAAGGGGAAGGGAGGAGGACATGAGTCAGGGACATGGCATGTAGTTGGGGCTGTTTCCAAGGGGTAATTTGGGAGCCCAGGGGGTCAGAAGTACATTTCCATGTTGGCATCCTGAGCGTGCCGTGCCTGCAGGCAAAGCTCCTTGCTCCTCGCAGGCAAAGCTTCTCAGCAAGCAGGAAGGCAGTGAGTGGTGTAGGTCTGGTGGCCAGAAGAACAAAAGGTCTTCAGCGGCTGCTTTGTCCTCTCCCCAGGGTACGAGGTACACCAGACTATCCATATAATCAACAGCGAGAAGGAAGCCTTCAGCTTTGCTTTCAGAGAAAGCTCTCTCTTCTCGGAGGCATGCAACGCCTCCATGAAAGTAGAGCCCCTGGAAGGCTCCGTCGCTCCTCTTTCAAGGTAACAAGGTTCACAGGCCAGATTCTTCTCATGGCAGCCAAACATCGCACTGTCTTTTTGCCTTTGAGGCTTTCTATCCTCCACAGTCACCAGATGACTCTCAGCAATAACATACATCTGCCTTGTTTCGTTCCTTCCCAATGGGGACACCATGAAACTGCAGGTTTCTCTTTCAAGTGGCCGGGTCAGGGTCACCCTCGTCTTCTGGGTCCCCTTCCTGGAGAAATTCAGGCTTTGGATCTTCTCGTTTTGATGACAAAAGCATGTTTGGGGGTTTTAATCCTGGGATCCCCTGAGCCAGGAGCCTTAAGGAGGCAAGGTCTCCTCTCTTCCCTGTGCTCCTTTAGTGACAGAGCTCACCACGCATGGTCTGTGCAAAGCCACCAAAAGCAGCAAAGCCCACAAGAAGCATTTAAGCCCATCACAGGGGGACATCGACAGCCTTACACAACCAGCTGTGTTTTGGAGGATCTCCAGTCGGGAAATGGATGCTCTTTTCTTGTAAACTCCAGCCACGAGTTGCCACCAGACATGATCAGGAGTTCAAACAGTGTAAGAGGTCACTACCTCATCTGCTTATCCACCACGGGTGGCCCACCCGTAGCCTGCCTGGGTGTAAGGAGAACGGATTAGCTTTGTCGTGGCTTAAAAGACGCTGAATTTTGGCTTGTCACAGGGTGCAAGACAAGAGCATCCTGTATCAGTCACTGTGGCCCACCTGAGAAGTGACAATTCCTTAAATCGCTGTACAAATTACCCACAAAAATTAGGAAGAGGTGGTTTGGTGGCCCCCACGTTTTACTGCTGTCACGGGAGCTGGATGGTTCCTCTTTTCCAGGAGGAAAAGTTACCCCTGTTACCCCTGCCAGAGATCGAGATCCCCTAGGAGTGTCCTCCTCTGTGTTTGGGACACAAGTGATGTTTTACCGATGTCACGGGAGCTGGATGGTTCCTCTTTTCCAGGAGGAAAAGTTACCCCTGTTACCCCTGCCAGGTAGATCGGAGAGATCGAGATCCCCTAGGAGCGTCCTCTTCTGTGTTTGGGATACAAGTAGGGTCTCAACCCAACGCTGCCCTGTAGCCTACGGGCAGGGCGCTAAGGTCAGCGTTAGCTCAGGGTTTGCTGCTTCTTGTATTCTCTCTCATTTCATTCCATGGGGTCATCGTACCCTCAGCAGTGCTCACCAGGGCTTGCTCCATAGTGGAAGGCCCTGGAAAGGCAGAGTGGTCCTCCTGATTTATCCCAGGCCTGGGGTCTCACCACAGCTATTGCACAGTGGGGCGGGCAGCGTGGGGCCAAGAAAGCTAAGGGAGAGTGAACGGAGCAAAAAGGATCTTCTCTCCCAAGGTTTCCCGTTACCATCTCCCTCACACCAACACTAGAAGGAGAGGTGGTCTTCAACCTCAAGTGCGATGTCAAGAGGAAGAGCCAGCCCCTCTCCTTGAACATCAAGGCCACTGGCTACAGCATGAACGTGTCCGTCAGGTGCGAGGACGGCGATGGCTGCGTCACTGAGCTCAGTGCACAGGAGATCAACGTCATTGATTTCAAGGAGGTGAGCAGCACTGGTGACCTGAACCATCTGCCCCACGGAGTCCTGCGAGATTGGGCCTTAACTAGGAGCTTTGCAGAGACGTTTGAACAAGAGGGAATGTTTTTCTTCATTTGTGGGTCTCTAGTGGGAGGGAGATTGATCTTTCAGACAGGTCATTAGTGGACTAGCTTGGAGGACATAGACTTGCTGGAGTGAGTCCAGAGGAGGCCCCGGAGATGCTGGGAGGGCTGGAGCCCCTCTGCTGGGAGGGGGGGCTGAGAGAGTTGGGGGGGTTCAGCCTGGAGAAGAGAAGGCTCTGGGGAGACCTTGGAGCCTTCCAGTCCCTCAAGGGGCTCCAGGAAAGCTGGGGAGGGACTCTGGATCAGGGAGGGGAGCCACAGCAAAAGGGGGAAGGGTTTGACCCTGCAAGAGGGGAGATGGAGCTGAGCTGTGGGGAAGAACTTGTTTGGTGGGAGGGTGGTGAGAGCCTGGCCCAGGTTGGCCAGAGAAGCTGTGGCTGCCCCATCCCTGGAGGGGTTCAAGGGCAGGTTGGAGGGGGCTTGGAGCAACCTGGTGTGGTGGGAGGTGTCCCTGCCCAGGGCAGGGGGTGGCACTGGGGGGGCTTTAAGGTCCCTTCCAGCCCAAACCATTCTGTGATTCTATGAATACAAAAGAAGAAGGAGCACTTGCTGGGCTGGCCAGCACTTTGCATGGGCTTCAAGCCCTAGTCCTCACCACCTTCTCCCCGCAGGTACAGCTGAACGAGAACATCAAGCGCACCTTCAGCATCCACAACAACGGCAAGTTCAGCTTCACCTTCTCATGGCAACTGAGTGGCCCCACGGCCCGTAAGCAGCTCCTGACCATCACCCCTCAGACGGGGGCCGTGCAGGCGGAGAGGAAAGCTGAGACCCAGCTGGCTTTTCACCCACACAAGATGTGCTCTTTAAAGGATGTAGAGCTGACGCTGCAGGTGAGGCACCAGCCTTTAACACAGGACCTTCCCCTTCCCTACACAGCAGGAGCCCAGAGCTTAGGGTTGAGCTCCGTCCCTGAAGGACCTGACCAAAGCAAAGAGGCTCCTGTTTCCCAAATAAATCACAGAATCAGCCTAACAGTTTCTGAATTGAATGTTTTAATGAGTTTGAGAAGTGCTTTTGTGGCAGGACGTATCCTCCAGGCACTCTCTGCCCCCAATCCTGGGGAGGCAGATTTAAACGTGCATGGCGGTGGAGCTGTTTCTCCTTGCCAGACCTGTGCTGGGTCGGGTCCCACAGAAAGGTCCTGCCAGCACATGATCGCACAAAGCAGGGCCATGACTCTCCAAAAACCTCTTCTCCCTCAGCCCAAGCCTTCCACCTTCTGTTTCTACTCCGGGGTTCTTCAGCAGCTGATTTTCCTTATTGTCACTGCAGCCAGCTGTTCTCCATCCTCTTCCTCAGCCACCTCTGCTGTTGGCAGTTGTAGTTCCCACCTCTTCAGCTGGCTCATGCAGTCTTTCTCCTCACCAGATCAGCAAGGGTCCCACGTTTACCTGCGTGTTCCTGGCCACCGTGGTCATGCCCAGTCTCCACTTCTCATCCACCACACTCAACTTTGGAGCCTGCTTCATCTACCACGCTGGGATGCAACCTGCCTGTCAGATCCTCACCATCACAAACACGGCAGAGAAGGATGTGAGGTGGGTTTTCTTCACACACTTCTATGGCCCTTGCTTAGAACGAGCCTGTTCCATATCCTCGTGACCCCTGTGGGTTGAAATATTGAGGATGAAGGGAGAGAGGAGGACCCTAAGTAGCCCTGATGTTGTCATCTGAGCATGCACGTCTTTGTGACACCTCTGCTCCTCTTTGCTGTGCTTTCACAGTTTGAACTGCTTGTTTGCTGGCACCATGCACCTGGAGGTGGACTTCCGAGGGTACGTCCTGCGCCCAGGAGAGACGGTGGAGGTGCCCGTCACTTTCTATCCCAGAGAGGTTGCGTCTTATCGTGAGGTCATCCCTTTTGAAATCAATGGTCTCTGCCAGCAGACTGTCGAGGTCCGAGGAAGGGGCATGGAAATGAAGGTGAGATGGAATCCAAATCCTAAAACTCCAGGTGGCACACAGCCCGGCATGGCTTTCTCTCTCTTTTTCCTCATCTCTCTTCCCCAGACTTCTGTGTTTTGGCTTTCTGCTACAAGGGTGGCAGAAAATTCTCCTCCTTTCCTTTTGCTTTATATTAATCCCTCCTGCCTCAGGTTGATGTTGTGGAACCACAAGGGAAGGTGGTGAAGCTGGGAGCCCTCTCCGTCGGACAGACAGTGAAGAAGATTGTCACCATAGCAAACAACAGTGCTGCCCCTCTCACTTTTAAGCTCTGTCTCACATCCACCACGCCAGAGCTGCAGGAAGCTGGGGTAAGGCCCCTTCCTTCACTGGAGAGCTTTTTGGGATGCCTACAGGGACAGCTGCAGGGAGCTATGAGATGCTCTGGGTGGGAGCTAGTGGCTAATTACAATTGTCTGCTGTCCTGGCCTCCCTGTTGGGACTGCTCTACCAGCAGATACTTGTGAATGCCTCATCAGAGCCAGGTCAGGACTCCCCTAATAGCCAGAGATGAAAAGAAGGTACAGTTCCTCTCACCTGCTTTAGGTTAGGATGGGGCCACCTCTATTAGATATGGAAAGGTAATGTTTAAAGACCAAGGGTTACAGCTGTCTTGGAGCTCCCGTGAAATTATTTTGGAAGATGTAGTCCAGCTCACCATGGACACATCACCCTTTGGTACCTAGGGATGCGTGGGATTGGGGCAATGTTGATGGGCACAGACCAGGAATTGGAAGGCTCTGCAGAAGGATCTACAGCTCGGTTCCCAGACGAAATATTCTCCACTTATTTCTTTGGGCAGGTTCTCTGCTTGAACCCCCTCAGCGAACTAAGTCTGAAGCCCAAAGGAGACACCTGCAGAGTGGAGGTGAACTTCTCCCCAAAGTGCCGCATCCAGCCCTTCACCGAAGAAGTGATGATGGAGTGCAACGGCCTGGTGCGCTCCCTCTTCGTGGTGCGGGGCTCCTGCCAGGGCATCCAAGTGAGCTTGGACCGGGATCACCTCAGCTTTGGAGCGGTGGTGCAGCACGGCTACACGTCCCGCAACATCGTCATGCAGAACACGGGCGACGTGGGAGTCAAGTAATGCAAAACTCTGAGGGGCTTGGGTGAGGGTTGGATGGAGTTGTAGCTTGCCCAGATAGTTCTTCACTGAATTTCACTGAATTTTTTAGAGTTGGAAGGGACCATAGAGATCATCTAGTCCAACTCCCCTGCTGAAGCAGGATTGCCCAGAGCTTGTCAGAGCATGTTACTCAGGAGCATCCAGGCGGGTCTTGAAAATCTCCAGAGAAGGGGACTCCACACCCTCCCTGGGCAGCCTCTTCCAGGGCTCTGCCACCCTCACTGTGAAGAAGTTTTGGAGCCCAGAACTGGACGCAGTACTCTAGTTGTGGCCTCACCAGTGCAGAGTAGAGGGGGAGAATGACTTCCCTTGACCTGCTGGCTACACTCTTCCCTATACAACCCAAGATACCATTGGCCTTCCTGGCCGCAAGAGCACACTGTTTACTCATTGTCATTTTACTGTCCACCAGGACCCCTAGATCTTTCTCTTCAGTAGTTGCCTCTAGCAGGTCCACCCCTAACCTGTACTGGTACCTGACATTTTTCTTCCCCAGGTGCAGGACCCTACACTTTTCCCTGTTGAACCTCATGAGGTTCTTCCTTGCCCAGCCCTCCAGCCTGTCCAAGTCTCGCTGGATGGCAGCACAGCCCTCCGGGGTGTCAGCCACCCCTCCCAGTTTGGTATCATCAGCAAACTTGCTGAGGATACACTCTGTCCCCTCGTCCAGGTCACTGATGAATATATTAAACAGCACGGGTCCAAGTATTGACCCCTGGGGGACTCCACTGGTTACAGGCTTCCAACTTCTTTGCTTTTCCATCCTGTTGGAGAGTGGGCTGTGCAGGCCAGGCCCTGGAAGTTAGCAATGGATAACAACCAAAGGCTTGTTTAGAGATGGATGCAGCTGAGTCCTGTCCAACCTGAAGCCTTGTTGCCAGGTGGCTCAGCATCATGCCTGAGATCTGGTGGAAAAGCCCACGAGAGGCTTAGAAACAGCAAATTGGGTTCACAGCCTCCCACTTGCTAACACTTCCTTCCTGTGCTTGTGCTTTCCTTGGCAAGGTTTGAATGGGACATCAAGAGCTTCAAGCCAGATTTCTCCATCAGCCCCGCAAAGGGTTACATCTCCCCAGGAATGGACGTCCCCTTCGTTGTCACCTTCCGTCCCTCTAAGCTGAGCCATTCCATCCAGTACAAGGGCCTGCAGTGCTTCATCCAGGGTGTCGAGCCGCTGCGGCTGACGCTGGCAGGGTGCTGCATGGAGACCCCTGCGAGCAAAGAGGTAACTGGAGCCCAGACAGGATGGGTCCCTCCCCATTATCCCACCATTTCACAGAACCACAGAATCACATGGGGTTGGAAGGGACCTCTGGAGATCATCCAGTCCAACCCCCTGCCAAAGCAGGGCCACCCAGAGCAGGTCCCACAGGAACGTGTCCAGGTGGGGTTTGAATGTCTCCAGAGAAGGAGACTCCACCACCTCCCTGGGCAGCCTCTGCCAGGGCTCTGCCACCCTCACAGCAAAGAAGTTCCTCCTCATGTTGAGGTGGAACTTGTTATATTCAAGTTTGGGCCCATTTCCTCTTGTCCTGTCCCTGGGCACCACTGAAAAAAGACCGGCCCCATCCTCCTGACACCCTTCCTTTAAGTATTTATAAGCATTGATCAGATCCCCCCTCAGCCTTCTTTTCTCCAGACTCAAAAGACCTAAATCCCTCTGCCTCTCCTCGGAAGGGAGATGCTCCAGGCCCCTCATCATCTCTGTAGCCTCTGCTGTCCCCTCTCCAGCAGTTCCCTGTCCTTCTGGAACTGGGGAGCCCAGAACTGGTCCCAGTGCTCCAGATGGGACCTCCCCAGGGCAATTTGCACCATTTGCAGCACTTCTCTGCCAGGGCAGGGACTGGAGGTCTCTTGCATGCAGGATTCCCAAAATATCTAAGCCCTGGTTTTGTCTTCCTCCCCTATTAAAGGTGCTGCTCCTCCAGCGAGCACGTTGGCAGTCCTGGCTCCTCGCTGCAGAGCTGTGGCCTTGGGGAGACCCCGCAGGGCTCTTGTGAGACCCTCCCCACAGATTGTCACCCAGCTGGACCCACAGTATAGCACCCACAGCCACACTCTTCCTCCCTGTTGGGATAGGGGAGGGCTCTCAGCACTAGGAGTGGGGCAAGGCATCTGCATCCAGCTCCTGGGACACGGGGATGCTGCGCGGAGGACTCCTGGCCCTCACGAGCGTTCCAGGAGGGTGCAACTGGGAGGTGTTGGCTCTGGCTCCCAAAAGAGAGCCCAGAGATGCTCTTCAGCCTGCCCATGAAGGGGCTGTGTGGCTGCAGGTCTTGTCCTTACACAGGAGAGAGATCCTTCTAGGACACCCCATTTTCTTTCTCCCCTCCTTGGGAGAACCAGCCTGAAAAACACTCATTCCTCTCCCTTCTTGAAGAACCAAGAACTTGATTTACACCAAAAGGTGTGGTTCCAATGGAAATTTTGCGTGTGTCAGGGAAAAGCTGCCCCCTGTGCCCCAGAGCCTGGTGTAGAGCTAGTCGGGGTCTCTGAGAGTGGAAAGGGTTCCTCAGTATGACCAAAGCAACCTCTGTGTTCCTCTGTTGCAGACAGTGACTTTCTCCTGCAACGTGCGCGAGAAGCACAGCCAGACCATCCTCCTGTCCAACCCGACCAACGAGGCCTGGACCCTGCAGCCTGTCATTGAGGGGACACACTGGAAGGGGCCTGAATTTTTCCATCTAGAGGCCAATCAACAAAACAAGCCCTACAAGATCACTTACAAACCCCAAACCATGACCTCGGAGAACAACAAGCACCAGGTGCGCGAGCTGTGCCAGCACGCTGACCCTCACAGTGGGACCCTCATAACTCACCCTGCTTTGGGCAGAATGTTGGATGAGATGACCTTCAGAGGCCCCCTCCAAGCTGAAATTGTCCTGTGAATCCTGTGTTGGAAGCTGGGTTTTTTGGTGGCTAGAGGCCAGGTGTAAGGAAAGTTCAGGTGGGAATTCTTGGACTGGCTACTAAATGTATTTTAGCAGCTAACCCAAAAAGCCAGCTTGTCTGAAGGTCCAGGAAATGAAATTTGTTCTGTTCTGCACGGGCTCCCCAAGCCCTGGGCACATCCACTTCTGGCAGCGTGGCCCTGCTGGGGTCCTTTGGCAAGTGTGCAGGGAAGAAGAGGAGCTGAAGCTGCCCTACCATTTCTCAGTGCACCCCTCACCATGACCAGTCTGGTGGGAAATGACCCAGAAGTCTCACCTTTGGCATTGCAGGAGCTTTGGAAAGAGCCCGTCCCACAGGTCTCAGGCTGGGAGGGTGGGGGTGACTGTCCCCTCTGTTTCCATGGGGCAGTATTTTCTGAGACACACCAGGGACAAGCTCTTAAATCAAGGCGGGTGGGGAAGTGTGAGTTCAGAAGGGCTCTGGGGTGCTGGAGTCCTTCTCCTGCTCCAGCTCATCTCACCCCACGCCAGAATTGAGTCCAGAAGGGGGACAGGGCTCAGTCTCCAGGATGCTCAGCAGATCTGTGCCCTGTAGGGTTGCATATGGTCAGCATCTCTTTAACGTACAGCCCAGCATGAAGAGTCCTGCAGTCTAAAGACATGGGACTGCCTGGGTGTGTCCGAAAGCCAGTAACCGGTCTGATGGAGAGCTCATTTACCCTATTTCTCATCTCTAGGGCTCCATCTTCTTCCCACTGCCAGATGGGACGGGCTTGTGCTACCTCCTGCAAGGGACTGCTGAGGCCCCAAAGTGTTCAGGGACCATTTTCCGGGAGGTGCCGTGTAGGACTTCCTACACCGAGATCATCCCCGTCTCCAACTGGCTGAACAGACCACAGAGGTGAGTCCAGCCCAGGAAGTCTTATCCCACCAGCAATCCCTGCAGACATCCCATTGCCTGGAAACTCCTTCCTGCAAGCTTTTCACTCTCCTTGGCCATTTCTGGCCGTAGGCGTCTGGGATCGCACTGCCCACGTTCTGCCTATGCAAACCCATCCTTGGAGGGCTTTCCTCCAAGGTAGATGAGTGCCTACCTCTGCCTGAGGCACCGAGAGGGGCTGTGTTGTACCCCCACATGATGGGTACCCTATGGAAGCCCTTCCTGTTGACCTTCACCGCATCCTTCTCGCCCACAGGTTCCTCGTGGTGGTGGACATACTTAAACCAGAAAACCTGGAAAGCAGCTCTGTGCTGCGGGGGCTGGATTACATCGACGTCCCAAGCTCTGCCACCAAGGACTACAAACTCACCTTCTTCTCCTACAAGGAAGGAGTCTTCAACACAATGGTAAGTGAGGACACCGTGCTGTGGGTGTCCTCTTCAAGGAGCTGTTGGCTCACTTGAGAAGCTCCACACCTGCTTCCATACCTTCACACTGGTGGTGTTGGACATGTCATAGGTGGGCACTGAACAGCAGGCACTTCTTCAGTGTCTTCAAGACATTGGGGAGGGTATCAAGTAGAAATACCAAGCATGCTTTCCCTGGTCTTGCACTCTTCCTTGGTGGCTGCTCACGGCCATTCTTGGAGATAGAGCGCTGAGCTTTGGGTGGGCTTAGCACAGCTGGTATGGCTTTATGTGCAGAAGGACCAGCGTTTCCCTTTTTCTCTGATTCAGGTGACTTTCCTCAACGAGGTGACCCAGGAGTACTTGTTCTACATGGTGACTTTCAAGGCCACCGCTTCAGGGCCCATCAGCACCATTGAAATGAGTGCTGCTGTTCGGCAGAGAGTGTCTTCCACCATCAAGGTGGACAACCCTCTGCCTGTCCCCGTGACGTTTGCCACAGACTGCAAAGTGCCTGACGTCAGCGTCCCCCCCTATTTCACTGTTCCTGCCCAGTCAGAGGTAGGTGCAAAGCTCATCCAGTATGTTCTCCTCTCCCTGCAGTCTTTCTGGGAGTGGGTACTCTTGACCTTTCAAGAGCATGATGCCCTACATGAACAATCTGAGGCTTCTTTCCAAGGGGTGACAGCTCTGGAGGGGAAAGCAGCGTGTGAGAATAACCCTACTGGGAATCACCCTGCGCTGCTGCTGGAGTCTGCCATGCCACCCTTTGTGGTATGACCCCACCAGGCCACACATAGCAGGTCTTTGTGCCACGTGCTCCTTATCTAGTGGGGGTATTTTCGGTTTAGAGTGGCCGCAGGGCACGCCAAACCCTGTTTGTGCAAACCCCCAGGGTGTTTGCAGCCTGGATTGATAGGAGCTGTTGTGAGCCCTGTGGGAGGACAGGGGGGCATTTTAGGGTGGGAAGCTCCTGGGATAGCTCTGGAGGACTCTCATGTGCTGGGGACAGTCTCCCTAGCGAACTGTCCCCCAGATGGAATGAGGCTCAGCCCCAGAGAGAGGGAGTTAGAGCGAGGGAGGGTGCTGAGTTGCCTTCCAGCAACGTATGAGCACACCAGGGACCAATTTCCCCCATCCCAGACCCTGCCTTCCCCATCTCTGCCTGACCCAGTGGCTTTTCCCTTCGTTCCTCCCAGGCTGACCTTGTCTTTGAGTACCAGCCCATGAAAATGGGTGAGAGCATCGGGCGCCTGATGCTCCAGAGCAGCGACTTGGGCTCTTTGTACTACAACCTGCACCTCAAAGCCACCACGAACAGGCCAGAGAAGCCCCTCCACTTCTGCACCACGCTGGGCTCCAGTCAAACCATCACCACCAAAATCATGAATTATGCCCGACAGAAGACAGACTACCTCCTCCAGGTGAGCCCAGTGTGCCCCAGGCTCTTGCTGGGAGGCAACTCATCTGGCCAGCATCAGCCCTCTCCGTTGAGGGATCCTGTCCCTCTAGCTTGGCTGGCATCAACAGGATGGCCATGTGAGCCCAGAGGTCTTCCCACCAACGCCGGGCTTGTCCCCAGCTGGACTGTCCTTGTTTGCAGACCCTTCTCTGCTGCCCTCCTTGGAGCTGCTTTTGCAGGTTCCATGGTGCCTGGGCTTCCACCTCAACCCCCAGCTCTGGGCGGGGGGGTCTCTTGGGGTTTGGGTGCAGGGTTGTCCCCAGCAGGCAGCCCTTATGGCCATCCATCATGGGCACCCACCCGGGGTATGGTGTGTGTGGGGGGAAAAGTGCAGTGACAGGCAAGGGACAGGGACCATGGCCAACGTGATGGTGTGGAGGGGACCTTTGGTGCTGGCTCTGCTTTTGTGACTTGCCCCCTCCATGGTCTCTTTTGTCCCTTGTGCAGACCAACTGCGCCGACTTCCAGACGGAGAAGACCATCAGCGTGGCTCCCGCCAGCCCGGGGGGCTCGGAGGTGAGCGTGGAGGTGACCTACGAGCCCTGCCAGCTGGGGGAAGCCAAGGCCACGCTGCAGCTCTCCTCCCCGCTCGGGGGGGAGTACAGCATCCCCCTCTTCGGCCTGGCCCTGCCCCCCAAGCCCCAGGGCCCCTTCGTCATCAAGGCCGGCAGCACCACCACCATCCCCTTCAAGAACGTCTTCCTCCAGCCCATGGCCTTCAGTTACACGGTGGAACACCCAGCCTTTGCCATCAAGGCCCCCGAGAGCCTGCGCCCCAAGAAGACCACCTCCATCACCGTCTCCTTCGAGGGCGGCCCCGTCCCCGTCACCACCAAGATGATGGTGTCCTGCCCCGGGGCGGGAGGCAGGGGTGGCGGCGTCTCCTGGGTCTATTACCTCCGGGGCCTCCCCCCTCAGAAGTGACGCGGGGCCTCCCCCTGTTAATTAACCGAGAGGCGGCGGGTTTAATTAACTCCGTAGGGATGCGTTTGGAATAAACCCAGAGGGTTTCCTACGGGGGGGTTGACGTGGCCTCCGCGCCGCCGGGGGGCGCTGCGCGGCCGGCGGTCACGTGGGCGGGGCCGCGGGGTGTGTGTGGGGGGGAAGTCACGTGAGAGGGGCCGGGAAGGTCACGTGGCCGCCGGTGGCGGCGGCGGGGCCGGGAAGGGACGGGGCCGGGCCGGCGGGGGCATGAACGCCGAGCGGGACCTGGCGCCGCTGGCGCCCAGCGTGGTGCGGGCGCTGAACGAC